GAATCGTGGAAAAAGGGGCCTGCTGGCAGAGCCCCTTTAAGCCCCTTAAATTCACGCCCTTTGCTGGATGAAATTAAATTAAATTAATTAATGGGAGTTTTATAAAACCCGATAAATATTTACCATGCCGTTGACTTAAACTTTTCTCGCTTTTTGACCAGCGATTTGCTATGCCTATTGTTCGTCTTTTCCGCAAAAATGTTCTACATATTTTTGGAAAATCGCTTGGATCGGCCCTTAAATTCGATTGGATCAAATTTACGTATTATTTACATATTAAAAAACCGCAAGCTCGTTGGGTTTACACGTGATTTTAATTAATTTTTTGGTTTTTATCATATAAATTAATTAATTAATAATTAGCATTTGGTTAAAATTTTATTATCGTTTAGACAACCTCCATTTATGTACATTAGACACTACATCGATCCATTAATTGTTTTCTTTGGTGCGGCAAAGACTTTTTTGCTAAAACATTAATTTTCATAGAACTAAGGTACCGCAAAAAATGTGCATTTTGAAATTAGATTGGACCCGGCCAGGCTATCAAACAAATAACCGCTTTTTGTACATGAATCTTTCTCTCAAAGTTTGATATTTTTGTTGGTTAAAACAGGTTTGGCTCATCAATTTACCGGCAAATTTTAGGTTAGATTTAATGAAATAGACACCTGCGAAGTTGAGAATATTTATACATTACCACTAATTGCCCCCTACTTCCCGAAAATGACTTCTTCGGCTAAAACATTAAGTTGCCAGGATAATTTGAGGAAACTTTTAAGGGTTGCGCCGATACTCAGTTTACATCTGGATATAAAAATTACAGTTTATTTTATATGTTATTTAGTCGAGGTTTTAAATGGCTTAATAGTCCTGCGATTTTTGTGATTATTACTTAATCGTACTGCCAATAGACAATCTATTAACTCGCGTCTTGCGCAAGCTAGTATTGGAAGATTACGAAACATTTTTTCGCTATCACCTAGCCTTTTCTGGATTTCCGAAAATCCCTTTTTCATGAAAAGCAATGGACTTTTCTAAACCAATAACGTTTTTCCCAAAAAACCTCTGCTAGCCTGCCCGGGATGGTTTGTTTGTTTTGTATCGTATTTCGCGTGGCTGAGATCATCGGATTGTTGGCTTCGGACCAAAAATCTTTGCTGTTATGCTTGAAACCTTCTTTTTTAAAGGTTTTTTACAATTATTTTCCTCAAAGAATCACTGCTAGCCTGCCCTCCCTCCCGATTGCAATAGGTGTCAGGGCTAGAGAGTGTGCACGTGGCCCCAGTCCCACCAGCCGGGCGCCTATGAGAGCTTTGAGTGAGACTTTCCGAGGGCCTGTACTCACAAGTATCTCTCCCGCAGAGAGAGCGAGAGAGAGATACAGAGAGAGACAGACAGAGAGATAGAGCGAGAGGAGAGAGAGAGAGAGAGAGAGAGAGAGAGAGAGAGAGAGAGAGAGAGAGAGAGAGAGAGAGAGAGAGAGAGAGAGAGTAAAGACGCTCTTCGGAACACTAAAGAGTTAGCAGGGCCCCAGCACAAGAATGTGTGGGGGTCCCCCGGGTAGAAACACTAGGAAATCCCAAGGCTGGGGGGAGGATAATTGATTTAAGGTTAACCAAAGTTGCCAAGGTAAAAATAACTTTATCGGATTTTGGTCGGATTCCGGACAAACTTTAATTGAAAACTTCAATTTCTTCCGATGATTGCTAGGAAATAAAACACATTTTTTGTCCAAAAAAAATTTTGAAGTTAGTTTACACCGGCAATAACTTTATCTGTAGTTTAATAACGATCTTTTCTGTATATCCCAGAGAGTTCGAAATGATTCCATTTAAAAAGTATTCTTTTATTATGTATGACACGATCGTTTTTATAGGGAGTAAAAGCCGGGACCGGTTAATGAATTCCAGAAGATCACTAAACTGGTTGCAAATTCGTGAAACATTTTTTTGTTTAATTTCAAGCTTTTACGTCTGCTATATTACCGTTTCGAATCCTATTTTTCCCAAATGATCCCTTGCCCTTGCCCTGCTTGTGGATCCTCTTTTCTTGAAAAAATCTCTGCTAGCCTGCACCGTTTTTTTGTTTTGTATCGGTTTTGCTATCACATTCACATTCGCACATTGGTTTATTGTATGTATTTGATTGAGGTTGTCCACCATTCTGCTTGAAACCCTTTATTTTTATTTCCCACCTGGCTGCTTTCAATTTCCATGCCCAGTTTTCCTAAATGGGTTCTGCTAGCCTGCCTTTTTCTTGAGGCCCACAAGGAATCCGAGTCCTTATGCAAAACATTAGGAAATGCCTGCGCTAGGGAGATAATTGATTGTTGGATTCATTGATCCCGAATAGACCAAAATCGGGTTGTAACAATCATGAAACATTTTTTGATTTCGGGCAAACAATATTATCTATAGGTTTTTTCCATGACCAGGTTCACTAGCCTCAAATTATCTCCGCTAGATTGCCCTTCACTGGAAACCTCCGATTTCTTCAAAAAATCTCTGCTAGCCTGTCTGGGATTGTTTGTTGGTTTTAGATCTAATTTCATTGTGGACCGAGTTTTTGTATTGGATCAAGGTGGTCAAGGTCCGTCCATTTCCTCAAAGAATCTATGCAAGCCCGCCCCAGCAACTAATCGATAATCTGGACCCAGGACCCACTCGTTCCGTTTTGTTTGTCCGTCAATTGTAGCCTAGCGTAGTCGAGTGATTTGACAAACTGTGAAGCCGCCGACGTGTTAAGAGGCGCCCTTTTCTTAGAATTCCTAGAAAAGAAAAGCTTCGAAAAATCCGAGTTGCTTTTTTAATTTTTTCGGATCGACTTTGGCGCTTCCGAAATGCACTCGGGGACCCTCGGCCTCCCACGGAAAACACTCCAAATTGCCCATCCAAAAGTTGTTGATGGTTCTTAAGGTTTTTGCGGGGCGACAGTTCGGGTTGAAAGTCCGGAAATCGGGGCGAAAAAATTGGAATGTTTCAAATAATTTACAGTTTAACGGCGTTGGAAAAAGGATAATTTGTTCGTCCTCTCAGTCCCCTAAAATCCAGTTGTCCTACCTTATATAATTTTGGGGTGTATCTCTGTGTGTGTGTGTGGATGTCACTTTGGAGGCCCGATTTAAGGGACATCCCCTGGATAAAATGCGCTAATTCTTCGTCACCCGGGGGAATCGACCCTCCTCTTTCCGATGGCGTTCTCAGAATTGCGATAAAATACAAGTTTACAAAGTTAATGCCGGTTTTACTCATTTTTGAGGGTCATTTGCATAATGTGAAAAAATAGAAATTTCCTGATTCTTCCCGGTTGCACGCGCGTGTGTGGTCGATAGGGGGAGGAGGGTCCGAAGGACCCGAGCTATGGAAAAGTCAAATTGTACATGCAAACGGGGACGTAGCGTAAGGTGGGCCCCCTGGGCCCGGTGCCCCCCCCCCGAAATCGGCCGGGGCCCAAAAATTTCATAAGGGGGGACCCTTATGATTTTTATTTTCTCAAAAATTTTGCTGCCTGCGGCGCTATTTTTTTCACGTTTTTACTGCGATTTATAGAGCTAAGTAGCCTTTTTTCCAAAATTTTTCGCCTGCGGCGCTGTTTTTTCGTTAATTTGTTGAGTTTTTCGGAAAAAATTTTTCGGGGCCCCCCCCGAAAATTTTTTCTGGCTACGCCCCTGCATGCAAAGGCCACATTCCAGCGCCCAAGGCCCGCGAAGCGGGTTTTGGGCGCTGGTTTCCAAAATAAATTAGGGCAGTGTTTCTCACTTGTTTTTACTTTTCTTAAGCGCATTAATTTTACAAATCTTGCCTAATAAAATACAAAAATATGATTTCCGATAAAAAATGGCGGATTTTCGAGTGAACCCTGCATTTAAAAATTTGATTTTTATTAGGTTTTTGAGTTTCCAAGCTTAATAGCTCCGCAATGGTCTTTTGTCGATTGCCTTGCTTTTCTCAAAAAAATATCGGGTCTGAAAATCGGAATGTTTCATAGAAATGACGGGCCAGAAGGGGATGTGTAATCAGGAATGACGGCCTGTTCGGAACTTCTTACTGTACCCCGTGTTTTGGGGACTGTGGAAAATCGCTATGTGAGATAGCAGATCAAATACAGAATTTTTCGCTGATTTCAAAGCTGTTTTCAAAAATTGCGTAGGCCCTCTCCTAAAAAGTTACAACCCGACTTCCCGCTCATAGCACCAAAAGTTCGAAACTTTCGAAGCTTGATATCGTTCTAAAATCACGTGAAATACTTTAAGGGGTAAATCACACCGATGCTAAACGTAGAAAAGTGTGCCCTTTCGAATGGGCAACAAAGCGTAGCTCGTGATTCATTGAAAAACGTTTATCCGGTAGGCTCATGCCCCAGATGGCCAATTTTGTGAATTTCTTCTCCCTTTAGTTGGAATTAGAAACTATACATCCCCAAAAGAAATTTGCGTATTTGGGATTCGACTTTAAAGGGGCCGGGAAGCCACTACTCGAGCCTGGCCCGGAAGCTCGGAAGTTGGCCGGACGAAAATTACCATGTTTCGAAAAATGACGCGCTAAAAGGTTCTGCACTGAGCAACAGAGACCTGCAATCATCGCAACTCTGCCACTGCAAGAATAGAAGAATGACAACTTTCTGGATAGAAAACTGATTTCGCTTGTTGAGCGCGCAATCTTTAAGTATTTTGATTTCACCCAACACAACATCCTCGGTGATCCGCTGCACAATTTTAACCAATAAACCGCCTAAAACTACTAAAGGTAAGAAAACTGACGGTTTCATCCGGATTGTAGTGAATTGGAATCGAAATATTTCAGAAAATTGACGGGTTAAGGGGGTCGGGAAGTGAACAATGTCGTCCTTGCATCCAATCCAATCCATCCGCCGGTTTTTAAAGTTTTCATTTTGATTGGGAAATTCTTACGCTTATTGGAAAATTTCATGGGTTAATCAATCATTTTGATATAATATCATTGCTATTTTATTAACTCATTCGATCCACGATTTTTCAGACCAACAACCCGATGCGGACATCAAGGAGCCAGGTGGTGACGGTATTTTTGCATTTAAAGGGCCATGGAAGCCCCAAAAAACGATCGATATCTTCCGAAAATCAGAGTTCGCAGGCCAGGTGAATGTTTATTGTTCCTATAAATGTTTTAAAAGCCTTAAAAATTAATTAAAATCAATGTTAAATGTTCCCCAGCATGTGCATGGCCTCGTGTCCCGCAAAAATCGATGAGACTCGTTCAAGGAAAATTGAAAAAAAATTGAGAGAAAATAAAATGTTTTAAAAAATTTCAAAAATCAGCAAAATATTTTCTCATCAATTTTTTCGTTCGTACTTGTTCCGTCCTTTTTTAGTCGCCAGCGACAAGGGCAAGCCGAAGACCGATGAGGAAGGTATCGCAAATTAATGCATAAAATTATTTTAATTTTTATTTATAGAAACCACCGCCGAAAATGCGACTGATAAACGGTAGGTATATTATAAAACTTTAATAATATCTATTTTAATGACAACATTTTAATTCCGGTAATAATATTTTTATTAATTATAATAATCAAAATTAAAATGAATAAAGTATATTCCTTTAAAAGTATACAAAGTTTTAATAAATTTAAATTCCAATTCTTTTAACCATTTTTTATTACTTTTAATGACAAAAACAAGGTTTTGAGATGAATTCCCTTCCATATGTTTCACTATCGTATGAATACTTTCAGATATTTTGCCATGCTAATGCATCCATTTGAAGTAATTTTCCATGAAAGATATTCAACCGCATCAAAATTTCCACTGCCTTCATTTCTTCGTTCTTTTTTGGCTCTTTTGGATTATCGGGGGGGGTCCCTTATCTCTTAAAAACAATTTTTTGCTTTGGTATCCAATTTCTACTAATATCATTCCTAAACGTAAAACTGTAAACGATTTATACCTATTTTCGTAGAAAAAATACGAATTTGTAGGAAAACGTTAACGTTTTTTTGGTTATTTAGCACTAAAAACACTTTAAAATTTACTATCTTGTTATTAGGCCTTACAAGGTCAATATAAAAAAACGGTTTCCTTGCCTGAACCCCCCGATAATGCAAAAGCACCGAAAAAAGCTCTATTAAATAGCTAATCCAATTAAACATTTTGCTATTTAATTAGATAATAATTTAAATCGCAATATTCTGTTAGTTATCTGTGTCCATTATGGCATGAATTCTGGTGGTTAACACGCCACTAAAAAGGCAATTTGACGAAACATAGTTTTTTAACCGTTTTTAAAGATTCCATTAAATTATTAGCGTCTATAAATAATAACGGTAAATAATAAATAATCAATAGTAACCAATGATAAATAAAGAATAATATGTAAGAAATAATAACAATCAGAATCAACATCAATAGATAAAATTCGTTTCAGTGAAGCGTTCAAATCGTCCAAACGGCGCTCCACCGAGAAACAGCTCACGAAGAATTTGCATGTCAAGGTGGGTGGATTTAAATGGACGACAACATGGAAGTCATTGTTGATAGAACAATAGTGCGGGCGTTGAAGAGCTAGGAAACATGTTTTTTTTTTGTTAAATCAAAGTTATTATCAAGAATCGGACTTTTAGCGGGGGATTTTTCTTTAGACAAAAAGAGAAAGTAAATTAATTTAGCGTATCTTACAGGGGCGGAAACAGGAAAATTAAAAATTTCGTTTAAATTGGCAGACTTTTGCAGAGAAGAAGTATTGTGATTCCCTCGTGCATCCCATATCGGAAAGTTTTTGAAACATTACAATTTCCGTAATAAAGTAGATATTAATTCATCAAAATACTTTCTCTAAATCCTGAATTAAAACAGATAAAAATGAAAATGCCAATGAATGCTAGTGAGGGCCCTAAAAACGATGTATTTGGGTAGAAATTAATTATTCAAAAGACGCTTTGCAATATCACCAAAAAATTTGGATTATTAAATTTCTATCCATAGCTAAAAGTCATGCTATAAAAAATAATTTAATTTAGCAATTTATATAGTTTCAATATTGAAAAAACCTTTTCCAGGGTGCCGAAG